AATAATATAAGGAAGATCAGGAGAATAGAAGAATGTCCTTCTTTATAATGCTGCAAAGCAACCCAGTGCAAAAACAGAGATTTAGTTTCAGTGTTGTGGATGAACAAAATATGGGTGTTTGTTAGTTGTTTGGGATCTCTCAGCTCATGACAAATATTGCATTGCATTGTTTTGAGACATATGGAGGATATTGGAGCTGTTTTTAGGTGTGCTAACGCATTTAAATAATTAACCACTTCAAGTCTGGACACTTTCACACCCCTTCCTGCCCAGGCCAATTTTCAGTCTTTCAGTGCTATCACACTTTGAATGACAATTGCGCGGTCATGCAACACTGTACACATTAATTTTTTTTAGTAAATTTTTTGAGACACTGAAAACTTTATTTTGGTGGTATTTATTCACCATCTGGGATTTTTTTTTTTTTTGCTATATAAATGAAAAAAGTCCAAAACATTTTGAAAAAAAAAAGTGGTTTTTTCTTATAAAATTTTGCAAATAAATATTCTTTCTTCATAAATATTGGCCAAAATATATTCAGCTATCTATTTAGTAAAAAAAATAAGCCAAATTAGTTTATAACCAAAAATGATATTTTTTCTAAAGTTTTTTTTTTCATTTTTATTTTTTATATTAAATTCATTTTTTTTTTTAACATACCATCACCCTAGCAGTACAGTGTCACCATAGTATGACACTGTACTACTTGTGAGGGGCGATGATGATTTTTTTTTTTTCTTTTTTTACACTGATTGCTTTTACAACCCATAAAGGCTGTAAAAGCAATCATTTCTCCTCTCTGGCTTGCATTCTTGCAGCCATTGAGAAATACTGTGAGAGCTGTGATGGTCACAGCTTGTCACATGGTACAAGGCTGTTGTAAATAAGCCTTGTACCATGTGACCTCTGTGATCATTCATAGATTTCACAAGTAGTAAGGAATGATGTCAGGAAGTGACATCTTGTTTAGTACTGTTCATCAGGGATCACATGAATCGGGACCTCGCACAGAGGTCCCGTACAGCGATTAGTCCTCCGAAACTACACAGCGGGCCATAGGATCGCGGTGCTGCGCCCTCCCAGGGAGCGAGCACAGGCAGGGAGTACGGGGGCCATTTATAAATGGCCACCCGCATCAGCACTGCTCCTGTCCAGCCATTTATGTACATGGGCCAGACGGGAAGTGGTTAGAGCAGAACTCCAGGCAAAAAACGTCTTTACATAGTTTTATTGCTGCATTCCTACCTTTCTAGAATATGTAGTCTGTCTTTCTGGTTGACTCTGTAGTTTCTGAGAAACAGCATGCATATTTATTAAATCATGTGGTTAATCCCCTGTGTCTTCCTGTTTGTAAGACCGGTGGCAGCTATGCCTCTTATTCCCCCAGCCACTGGTCTTGGCACATCCCTTCTGTAGTTCTCATGCCAGCAGCAGAGATGCATTTCCTGTTGGCTGTAGTAGGTGGACCAGTCTGAGTGTCAGGTCTGAACTGCCCATAGAGGAAATGTGCCCCTCCTCCCATCCAATGGTAACAGCTGTCAACAAGCCTGGAGCCCAAAGCATTTACCTCCATGCATGCCTGACAACAACACAGGCAGGCTGGGGGTAAAGGATTTCACTGGGGATTCAGAAGGCACCTTGACTGACAGAGATAATGGATTCTATGGTCACTCTGTATACGCAGAGGAAAACAGGAGAGGAAGCCGAGCTGCTACACAGACTTAACCCCATAGCTGCTGGGGAGGGAGCTGAGCCTGTGGCTAACAGTTAACCCCTCAGTTGCTAGACACCTTTACATTGTACCACTAAAAGCACCCACTGATTAACAACTGTCTGGCGATTGAGGGGTTAACTGTTACCCACAGGCTCATCTCTCTTCCCTGGCAGCAATAGAGCAATGGAACATGTGTGCACAGAGAGTACAGGGATGGAATATGTGTGCAGAGAGAGGACAGCAATGGAACATGTGTGTAGAGAGAGTACAGGGATAGAATATGTGTGCACAGAGAGTACAGGGATGGAATATGTGTGCACAGAGAGTACAGGGATGGAATATGTGTGCACAGAGAGTACAGGGATAGAATATGTGTGCACAGAGAGTACAGGGATGGAATATGTGTGCACAGAGAGTACAGGGATGGAATATGTGTGCACAGAGTGTACAGGGATGGAATATGTGTGCACAGAGAGTACAGGGATGGAACATGTGTGCACAGAGAGTACAGGGATGGAATATGTGTGTAGAGAGAGTACAGAGATGGAATATGTGTGTACAGAGAGTACAGGGATGGAATATGTGTGTAGAGAGAGTACAGAGATGGAATATGTGTGTACAGAGAGTACAGAGATGGAATATGTGTGTACAGAGAGTAAAGGGATGGAATATGTGTGCAGAGAGAGGACAGCAATGGAACATGTGTGCAGAGGAGATATGGGGATGGAACATGTGTGCAGAGGAGATACCAGGATAGAACATGTGTGCAGAGAGAGTACAATGATGGAACATGTGTGCAATTGGAGTACAGGGATGGAACATATGTGCAGAGGAAATACAGGGATGGAACATGTGTGCAGAGGAAATACAGGGATGGAACATGTGCGCAGATGGGATACAGCGATAGAACGTGTTTCCAGAGAGGGTACAGTGATGGAACATGTGTGCAGAGGAGGTGCACTGGTGGAAAACATGAGCTGATGTGGTAGTGTAGTGGTAGCAAAACAGCTGTACAGTGGTAGTGGCACATGTGTGCAGGGAGGGTGCAGTGATGGTTGAACAGGGACATTCTTCCCACTTCCTACTGACATAAGGGTGGCATTTCTTTTACTGTCCACTGACATAGGGGGGCATTGTTCCTACTGACGCCAAGTGAATTGGTTTTAGTAAGGGTTACCCTGAGAGCTGAAAATTATTTTAGCAGTTCCTGTAGGTTAAAATGTTGATAAGAACTGATTTAAAATTTATAAATGATATAAAGTAGAACAGCTGCCTCTCCAGTTACTGTAGAACTACAAGTCAAGCTGCCTCTTCAGCTACTGTAAAACTACAAGTCAAGCTGACCCTGACCAATTTATACCATGCCACCATACATGTGAACCCATGCTAAACAATGTTTAGTTACTACAACTGCTGCTACTTAGAACAGTCTTTAGTGACCCCACTGGAGAGAGACTTCCTATTTCTGTGACCCCAATGGACACTGGAGAGAGACTTCCTGTTTCTGTGACCCCACTGGAAGGATACTTCTCCTCACTTCCTGCCCCAGTGACACCACTGAAGGGAGACTTCCACTCACCTCCTGGCCCTGTGACCCCACTGTAGGGATACTTTCTGTTTCTGTGACCCCACTAGTGGGAGACCTCCCATTACTTCCTGGCCTTGTGACCCCCACTGGTGGGAGACTTCCTGTTTCTTTGACCCCAATAGAGGGAGACTTCCTGTTTCTGCGACCCCATTGAAGGGAGACTTCCCCTCAATTCCTGATCCTGGCAGGAATAGCCATAAAAACATTGTCATAGGTTCAACGCCTTCCTTGTACTGTAAATGTGTTCTTGTCTGTGACTTTGTGGGATATATATCAGGTCTTCTCCTGTAGTATGGCTACAGTCTCAAGTGATATAGTGTAGAACAGCTTCCTCTCCAGCTACTGTAGAACTAGTCAAGCTGACACTGTCAATTTATACCATATCACCATACATGCCATCCCATGCTAAACAATGTTTAGTTACCACACCTGCTGCTACCTAGAACAGTCTTTAGTGACCCCACTGTAGAGAAACGTCCTGTTTCTATGACCCCTCTGGAAAGAGGCTTCCTGTTTCTGTGACCCCACTGGAGAGAGACTTTCCCTTACTTCCTGTCCATGCGGCGGCCACTGGAGGGAGACTTCCAGTTTCTGTGACACCACTAGAGGGAGACCTCCCCTCACAGCCAGTAACAGAAAACCTAGAGGATGGGGAATTAAATATTTAATTAAAGTAGACTACATAAAATGAACTAAACTTTTTGCACATGCATGCTTTACATTTCTAAGATTGTCACTTAACTATCCTGCTGTATGGTGATGAGCAGTGGCTGAAGAAAGAGAGGTCTTGATTTATGTTGGAGTGGGCGAGTACACATTCAACAGGTACAAGCCTAGTGCACCTGCCCACATTCAATGCAATTCCCAGAGGTTAATGGGAAATGTAGTTTCCTTTCCTGCAGAGAGAGGAGAGGATTTGAAGTAATCCCTGCTGTTACACCTCCTCCTTGCCAGAGCAGATGCTGCTATTTTTGAATTATAATGAAGACTTCCTGAAAATTCAGTTAAAAAGACTTTTTATCTTCAATGGTAAGGAATTTCACAAATCTGGTACTTAGTGTTTCGTGTAGGGGGGTATACTAATGGATGATTTGTTTGCCTATCCCAGAGTTCTTTAAGGAAAGCATAGTAGGCTTGATTTACTTGCTACAAAGAGAATAAATAAAACACTACATTCAAATATCCTGATTTTTGACTGGCAACCAGGGTGAAGAGTGGTATATGGCATTTATGCTATGTCTCAGTAACTAGAGCTGATAGGGAAAAAGCGGTGCGACTTTTAGAATCAGCATGTCAAATATACCCAAGAACGGGTCTAACATTCGAGGCACCAAAGTATGTATTGGCCTGTGTTATACTACGAGCAGGACTTTAGAATGTGGGAAGAAACACACAAGCTCAGGGAGACATGCACACACAATGCAGATAGTGATCCAGGTGGTATGCAAATCAGGGACTCCAGTGCTGCAAGGCAGAAGTGCCAACTACCAAGCCACCATGCTGCTCAAATTCACATACCAGTCACTCACAACTTAGACCATGTACAGGTACACTCCCATATATATATATATATATATATATATATATATATATCACTGCTTGGCTCAATCACTGGTTGAAAAAGGCAGATTTTCCTGCATTCCTATTGATGCACCAATATCTAAAATGTAATTAAATTATTCTAAAGCAGCAGAATTCTCATTGTAATGCTCTGTAATAAACTGTACCTGAACAAAATGGGGGTTTGGTACTCCATTGATTTCCTTGACACGCTAATTCTTCATGTCCTTCTAAGTGATAGCCGGAGTAACAAAAATAAATTAACACAGCCTCCGAACAAAACACAAAGTCACCATTTTCTATCTTCATTGGAAGGCCACAGGATGTACCTACAAAAGGAAATCTAGTGGTTAAATCCTTGTTGATGTTTATCTTGGTTTTATTCCTCTAATCAAAGGTTTGCCTTGGTGAAAAATGAGACATTTATTTTTTTTTTTCGAACTACACTTTTAAATTCAGGGCAGGCGTACACGACCAATGCACAGGTCACACTCTCATTCAGCACTGTTCCATATAATATAGTTTGTACTTCAGAATGCAAACATAACTTCTCTTTTTCTCCCTATTTGGAACAAGACATGTTTTAAAGGAAAACTATAACATTTTTTGGCCAGTCTTTTTTTTTTTTCTTTATTAACTATAATTGTTTTTGGGCAGTTCTTTTTCTTATTTTTAACTGATGCTGATATAATTTTTGTAATATGTATAAAATATTTACTTTAAAAATAAACTTTTAATATAGCAAGCTTCCTGTGCTTCTGAAGATTTAGAGTGCACTGTCCCTTCTTGGAAAGGAAAAAGGGGAGTGTGTTATTCAGTTAACTTATTCAGCTATCTGTATATGAATCTTAAAATCGTGATAATGAGCACAGCAGTAAACCAGCTGTTTAAAATTTTGGATTAGCAGAATCTCATTTGCCACTTGATGACTGCTAAAGAGTAAAAAATATACTTCATAAATACTTGAATAAAAAGAATACATTTTAGAATTCATATGGATTGAAGAAAAATAAATATCAGAAATCATATAGATTGAATCAGAATGAATATCAGAAATCATATAGAAAAGCACTATACATTTCTTAAAAGCACATACGTTTACAAGTACGCAGAAAAAACAGATTTTATCTTAAGTTTATTTATGTTCAGTTTTTACACAAAGTGGACATGGACAGAGCCAGGTCTGCTATATGGACCGGAGGGTGTGTCCGTTTACACCCCACTGCCCTCCAATTTGCTCCGCCTAGACATAGGGAAATGGATCCCCTTCCAGACTGGGTCAGAGGCAGGCGGGTGTAAATTATTGTTATTATACAGTAATTATAAAGCGCCAATGGTTCGCTCAGCGCTGTACATTACAAATGGATACAAGTCTGGAAAATGAACAGGACATGATCAGAACCATAATGTGAAAGGGGCCTAAATGAACAGTGAAAATAGAAACAACACACTTATGAACTCATCACTGTATTGCTCTACTCTCTCCTTGTATAAGCATTATCTTTTCACTGCAGCATACCTTAATGGCTCCTTGTGCTGCTTCTTCATCCTCCTCTCTAAACTCTGACTGAACACAACACTGCAAGAGGCTGATACCAGGTCAAATTCAGATACCTATATTTGCATTTAAAAATACATTTTATTGATGCTTTAATGATTAACCACTTCAATATTGGGCACTTATACCCAGGGGCGGACTGACAACTCATGGGGCCCCCGGGCAATAGGGGATCATGGGGCCCCTTGTCCTTGCCCAAACTCAAAAAAGCCTATGAAAAAGGTACCAGGGGCAACTCATGGGGCCCCCTACTGATCCCGGGCCCTCAGGCAGTGCCCGAGTTTCCAAATGGTCAGTCCGCCCCTGGTTATACCCCCTTCCTGCCCAGGTCAATTTTCAGCTTTCAGCGCTGTCGTATTTTGAATGACAATTGCGCGCGGTCATGCAACATTGTACCGATATGAAATTTTTATAATTTGTTTTCACACAAATAGAGCTTTCTTTTGGTGGTATTTAATCACCACTAAGTTTTTTTATTTTTTGCTAAATAAAACAAAAAACATCTGAAACGTTTGGAAAAAATAAAAAACGCACTTTTCTTCGTTTCTGTTATAAAATTTTGCAAATAAATAAAATTTCTTCAAAAATGTAGGTCAAAATGTATTCTGCTTACATTTCTTTGGTGAAAATAATAATAATAATTGGATTTGTATTTTTTTTCAAATGTTTAAATTTTTTTTTTCTAACATTTTTTCTTTTTTTTTCACTATTTTATTTTTCAGCACACTGTGACTAAAGCAATACAATGTTACCATAGTAACATTTAACTACTCTGGGCAAGTGATCAGGAATTTTTTTTTAACACATTATGATTGCTAATACCAATGTATTTCATTGATATTTGCAATCGTTACTGAATGCAACTGATTCATTCAGTCTTTTGTTGTGATTAGCTGTGATTGCGCAAAGATGATCACATGATACAGATGGGCTGTGATTGACCCTGTATGTATCATGTGACTGTCTTGACCAGTCAAAGCTAACAACATAATTGTATACAATGAATGACATGGCAGGAAGCCATCCATTGTATACAATTGACGTGTGATCTGCTGTGATTGGTCAGAGCGGTCACGACACTGGCAACAGGCTGGTGCAGTGATATGTCATCAGCTGTGTCCCGTGGACACAGCCAGTGACAGATCACGCTGCTGCGCAGCCCCGTGGCCACTTAAGAAAGGGTGTTCTTATACCCCTGAAATGTTGAGTTTTTCCTCCTCCTCTCTCTTTTCACCAGTGTCTGGATCAGCTATCATTCTCATTATTCTATTTTTGTTATGGGGTGTGCCTGTCTATATATTTAAATCTATTATACTAACAGATTGATACAATGTGGAGGTTTTAAGCACCCTGAAAAATAATCCATTTGTTGGTTACCTAATGGTGTACAACATAGATAATAGTGGTGTGCAGACCTTTATTGCTAATTACAATTGCTAATTACAAAAAAAATAAATAAGTGCTTCCCACCAGGTGATAAGCAATAAATACTATTTAGAATAGGTGGGTAGTAAAAACAGCTTCGTCTTAACAACTCCAGAATGCCCAGCTAAATTTTTTCCATTGCAACCAGACAGGGCTGTACACAAGCTGCAAAGCTATGCTTCATGGCGTGGCGATTTTAACTCAACTTTTCTGTCAAACGTGCCCATTAAGGTCTAAGGGAGCATATCGCAACTGCAATCCAAATGATTGGCCCGCAGTTGTGGTCTTTCCATATAGGATCATCCTTCAGTTTAAAAAAAAAAATCATCAGTCATTCAAGAGGCAGCAGGATCAACCCCTGAATGCCTGGCAGTCGCTGCTCTACCGCCCTATAAAATAGTGATCCACCATAGGCCACTTTTTGCAGACTCTGCTACTCATATAAAAGAGCTCCTTGTACATGAGACAAAATGGAGACATTAATGTTAAGTTGATCTGGTTTTAACTTTAGCAATTTACTGCTCGATCCGGAAAGCTAATTATGCAATGTTTAGTCGATGTACTGTACATTTTGGGTTAGAGATTGCCTTAGGACACCATCATTTCAAATTAAATGATCAGAAGTCCTTTTTGTACACTGCACAAAATTTGGCACAGAGCCCTTGAATTGCTGGTAATACCATATCCCTGAAAAAGAACAAAATTCCATCAAGTGGCAAGTATGTAAGGAAGATACATCATACGTTTTTCAATGTTCTCCTTCCAAACTTCGAGATCTAGGCTGGGTACACTGTCACATGATACAAAGTCATCTGGATATTTTCCTGTAAGAAAAGCATCAGGTGGTACGTGGCTCAGGCCTGTGTTATCACAAACCACACGGGAAAGGGAATGTTTCTCAAGCTCCTTTCTCTGAGTCTCAGTAAACATCATGGAGTTTTCATACCAAAACCTATGAGGTGAAAAGATAATGAAATAATGATATATGTGAACATGAAAAACACATTTTCAAACATTTTGAAATAAACTTTTAATATTAATTTTACCAAATTTAGCTGCAAATTGTAGATGTTTGGCATTTTAGACACCTTATCCAAATTATTATAGTCGGAGATTTTACAAAGTTCCCCTTGATATGGCATTTATATATAACTCCTATCATCAATCAGAGGAAGGCTCTTACATGGCCTCTGGTGGGCAATGTTAATTTCGTTGATGAAAATATTTAAGTCATAATTTTTGTCAGTGGCATGTTTTCAGTGATGAAAACTAAACAAAAATCAATATCAAATCACATTTTTGTCAGTTGGCGAAAACTATGATGAAAATCACTTCCTATTTTCGTCAACGAAACAAAAACGGAATGAAAATGTGAGGGAGGGACTTTTCTTGTAATGAGACTTGGTTTTGCTTATAAAGACATTATGTAATCACTAAATCTGTGTCTGTGTAGTTTGTCTAAAACCTTAATACCATAAATAATAACAAGTTATTATATTTTTACTACAGGAGTATATAATGAGTTTGCAAATTCTAGAGAAATACTTAAAAAAAGACATTATACTGTGATTTATTAAACCCACAAGATTTTAGATGACTAAAATGTACTGAAGTTTTAAGTTCACTAAAATACAACTAAAATTAAAACAATTCAGGTGAATAAAAATACGAATAAAACTAAAATGATATTTTAGTCAAATGACTATGACTAAAACTAAATGAAAATTTGACTTCAAAATTAACACTGCTGGACATTCAGTAGTTGTACTGATTCAAGCTTCAAAACTGTGAGTTTAACACTGCAATGTAGGCCCTTGTAATTTTTATATCTGAACATGATCCTCATCTGCGATATAGATTCAAGGGCAAAATTCCCATTCCTCAATCTTCATAGATAACTTCAAACTTGAAAGAAGTGGGCTTAGAGGATCTCCACATCTTAGCTTTATTTTTTCATGACCAACCATAACAATCAGTGATACTGCAAATTTCCATCTATATAGGAACTGGTTCTCTTTCAAGAGATCGATAATTGGTTTCAGCATAATTTTTGCAAAGGTTCTTCTTGAGAGATTTCTATGTCAAAGTCCCCTTCACTGAGCAAGCTTTAGCCAGAATTGATTCCTTAATCTTAGGGAAATTAACTTTGCAAAGAGTATCTCATTAAGGTTCATTTATATTTTAGAATGATCTTCCCACAAGGTGCACTCTGCCTGCTTCAGCTTTAGGATTTTCTTTTCTAGCCAATTTATATTTATAAAGTGTTTCGACACAGTTGGAAGCTTGCTATTTGATATTGTGTCTGGGATTTCAGAAATTTTAATATTTTTGCATCTTGATTGGTTCTCCAAATTGTCACATTTGATGACTAAGTCACAAAGCGTGTTAATCTGTCTCTCTATGTAGTTCAGAGTAAAAGTAAGTGATAACACAACTGATTCAAGGGGTTCAATCTTTGAACCAAAATGCAGAATTGATTCTACTATTAACACTTTTTTCTGTCTTAATTTTGTGGTGGATTATAGCAAGGTCACAATATTTGCAGTGCATTCCTTTAGTTATATCAAAAAGGATAGGGGAGGATACTGGACTTTCTTCACTAGTTCTCCTAACTTTGTACCTTCATAAACAGATCTCCCAGCACACAGGCTCTTTTCTGTAAGGGGATTGTCCTGCATCCAGTAATAGCCAGTGAGATCAGAACAAGTGCCTGATCTGGGATGATTGGAGCTCTCTTTACAGGGTATGTTTCTGATGTCTCTGAACCAGCCCCAGGAGGAGGAGTATTGATTGTCTAGGAATGTCATTTTTGAAGCTGATTTGAACTTAGTTCTGGTGAGTGTATATTAGTGAAGGATCTCACGGATGTTCTTTTCACATTTGGATTTTACTTTACTACACTAAGGACTGCAGTTCATATGGACTGTTTGTGCAGTCATCAATTTCACTGTGCACTTGCTTTCTACAATTTGCTTTATTTTTGCACTGTTTTTGGAAACTTTTTGATATTTAATGTGAAAGTTACTGATGAATATTGATAACATATTTTGGATAATATAACATATTATCTTGCAATAACTAGGTATTATAAATAAGACACATGTGTTTACATTGTCATATAGCGCAGCACTTTTTTTTATGTATTTGCATTTTGTTTATGGGGTGGGTTCACCATATGTGCTAGTTGCTCCCAGATCTCCAAGTGCTCACTTTATTTTTGTTTTCCATTTCATTTAGTTAGGTGATTCCATTCACAGCTGTTGTATTGTTTGCGATATACATATCTGATGGATTAAGAACCCCTACTTGAACCAGGGTTCCCATATGGTATACCTTGGGGATCTTTCATATACAAGGTGAGTTAAAGGATAAGTTCACCTTTGCAACATGTTACATGTTCCACCCATTTTTAGGGTGGAATATGTAACATGTTCCCATAGCCACAGCTGCGCCCGAAGCCCCCCTCTCTCTGACAGATAGTACGGGGAGAAGTTTCCCCATACTATCCATCAGACACGGCCGCGTCACTCATTCACAGTGTTCTGTGAAAGAGTGTCTACAAGTCCCGACAGCCTTAGCAGCTGTGGACTTGCAGTTTCCAATGAGATACCATGGCGCTGTGGAGTGCCATGGTAGTTCATTGAAGCTTCCTGTCAGTATATCTGCTTGCTCGTACATCCTGTATGGCAAGCACATATTCTGACAGGTCTGCAGGAAACCTGCATGGCATCAGAGACCTACTGATTGCTTTACGGGCTCCAATGTGCATGTATTATTTTTATCCAAAACCTGAACTTATCTTTTAAAGCAAATCTATGGTCAAAATGAAAGTTTGTATATTCAGATCTACATTGTGTTTCAATTATTTCTAGCCTACTCTTATTAATCTGAATGATCTTGAAGTCTGACTCTCGCTCTGTGAAGATTCCCACACATTTACTTCCTTGAATCTTGTGACACGTATTAAATATTTCCTGTGAGTAGGCACTGCTGGGTCGCACATTTCACAGAGCCTGCCTTCTAAACTACAAAAATGCTGAGAGGAAAGTTGTGGAACTTTCAGGAAGTTGTGGAAAGAGATGACCAGCAGACAGGAAGCAACCACAACATGAAAGGAGATTTTTCAAGTAAGCCTATAGTGGATTGTCAAAAATAACTATTGTTTGGATTGTTATTGCAATGCTGATGTTATAAATTGAAAGTGTATGCTGTGATCATAAATTTCCTTTAAGCTCTTTCATGCCTTCTTGAAGTGTTTTCCCATTATAAATTCAAATAAGATCGATAATCTGAATTACTGGTTAACACAGTTTAAAAACTTTTAAATATTTAATATATGGCTGAAAGCTTTTAACCTTGTTCATGGATAAGGTTGCCATAAAACTGTAAGAGCACATCATCCTAAGTAAACATTCATGTGTTATATAAATTACTGATACTAGGTATGGTTCATGGAAACTACATTATGTTCTCAATAATTTGCTGCATTCTAAAGATTTTTAAGAGATTTAGCCCCTTGCTATCAGTAAATGCCAGATCAAAATATATTCAGCACATCTGATAGAAGACAGTTCTTCGAAATCTCCTTCACACTAGTGTATAAACATTTTTTGGTTTCTAGATGACACAGGGTTTAAATATCAAGATTGAAATTATTAAACAATTTGGTTAATACCTGAAATATCATAAAGTAAAAATGGACAGTCAAATGTCAACAATAGAGAAAAAAAATCTATATCTAACTGTAAGGCTGATGACACATTGGCAACTCTGCTGCTGGTGACACTCCAAAAGCAGCAGAGATGGGTGGGAGAATCTGCCACTTACCTCTCTGCTCCCTTGTTATCTCTCGCCTTCACTATTGTAACTCCTTCCTCATTGGCCTACCTCATTGCAGGCTATCCCCTCTTTAGTCTATCATGAATGATGCTGCCAGACTCATCCACCTTACTAACCGTTCCGTATCAGCCACCCCTCTCTGCCAATCCCTCCACTGGCTTTCCATTGCCCAACGGATACAATTCAAAACATTAACAATAACATATAAAGCCATGTATAACTCTGCCCCAAATTGCATCTCAAATCTTGTCTACAAATATCACACAAACTGTACTCTCCGCTCCTCGCAAAACCTCCTGCTCTCTAGCTCCCTCATCTCCTCTGCCCATGCTCGTCTCCAGGTCTTCTCCAGAGCTTCCCCCATCCTCTGGAACTCTCTACCCCAATTAATCAGACTATCGCCTACTCTGTTCACTTTTAGGCAATCTCTGAAAACCTATCTCTTCAGAGAAGCCTATCATGCCTTCAGCTAATAATGGAATCGTCTACTCCTCCTACCAGTTCATCCCCTACAGTTACTACCTTTTGTACCACTAGCCACTAGCCCCTCCCTCTTAGATTGTAAGTTCCAAGGAGCAGGCGCTATATAAATCCTGTATAATAATAATAATTGGTAAATACTGCAGAAGATTAAAAGCCTGAGCTGGTACCAGATAAATGACCAGCTGACTAGAGATCCAGTAGGGTGCTGGGATACCAACATTCCATTAAGGAGCATTGGATAAGTTGGGCATGCTTTAGCTAAGGTGGAAAGTGAGCAAGGAATGAGACCAGAAGAAACAAAACACATCACATCATCTGCTTCAGACACAACCTAGATCTTTTTGATCTTAGCACAGGTGCATTATTTCCTGGTTAGTGTTAAAAATTAACTGATTGATTTTAAAATGGAAATTTACCCATTACAACTTGATAAAAAATAATGTTCTTTAGCAAGGAACATACATTTTACATTAATAATTGTGCTACCAAAAATAGAGTATGCTGTAAATTGCTTCCAGCATTGCTCTTGTTTCTTGTTGCTGGAAGCTGCCATTTGGCTGAAGCCCAGAGCCCCTAAGCAGCAGTAAGGCCCCTTTCACATAGGGCAGACCAGTTAGCGGATACGCTTGC